CACACACACATATATATATATATATATATATATATATATATATATATATATATATATATAAACAACGACCAACATTTAGAAAAAATAAATATTTACAATAACTACTATTATATATGGGAATATTTACTCATGAAAACATCTGGTGCTAATACTACCGCTACTACTAAAATGACACCAATTACTACTACTGCTTCTACTACTGCTGCTGCTGCTACTACTACTACTAATACTACTACTACTACTGCTACTACTATTGCTGCTGCTACTACTGCTACTGCTACTACTACTACTACTACAACAGCCACTACTACAAATACCACTACAGTGACGGCAATGTTTAAACACGCTTCTCAAGTTATCCATTAATATTATCACACATTATTCCATTATTCAATCAATTCAATTTTACTCGACATGTACAGCTAGCACAGTACAGTTACACACACACACACACACACACACACACACACACGCATACACACACGCATACACACACACATATATAAATATGCAAATATTTTTATATAACTATATATAACACATATAAATATACAAATATTTTTATATAAAGTATACATGAAACAAAAAAAACCGACTGTGTATGACAAAATAGGACAAAATTTTATTTTAATATGACTTCAGAGAAAGATGAAGTAGAGAAATTGAACTGAAAGAGAAGCAACAAAAATTAATTAAATACTATGACGGCCTCTGGCTTGAAGGAAGAATACAAAAATCTTTAAAAAAGATGAAATATAAATAAATACATTGTTACATACAAAATGTTTCTTTGTGTGTGTGTATGTGAATGTGTGTGCGTGAATGCGTATATGAATGTAAGTGTTTGTGTGTGCGTGAAAGAATGCAAAAACATATACAGGATAGACAGAAGAAAAATAAAATAAATATAAAATAAAAATAAGGTGGATAACTACTGGAGGCAAAAACTGAAATCTCAACAACGAAAACAACAACAACAACAACAAAATGATAATAATAACAACATAAATAATAAAATAATAATTAAACATAAATAAAAAATTGTAAAAGTTTAAAATCCCCCTTAGATGCGAAAACGGATAAAGGCCCGATCATATTCTAGAAATAAATAAAACTCAGCTGACCGAGCAATCAATCACGCGACACGGAGCGAGCAGCAGCTGTCTCTGAGTTCATTTGAATGGAGTGTGGGTAGGTAATAATAATAATGAAGTAGCAGGCAGGCTTCATTCATTGAGTCTCAAAAATCTTCACAGTTGAGAGTATTAATGATACAAAGATAAAAATTAATAGCAATAAAGACAATAATTATGGCAATAATTATAACAACAATTATAATAATAGTTTGATGTTGGTGATAAAAAAATGAACAAACCAACAAAAATATTTTCCATGCTATTAATTATGACAGATTTTATGACTAGAAAATTTTATGATCGGTTGACTGGTTAGTTGGCCGGTTTGGTAATTGACTGGTTGATTGATTGAATGAATGATTGGTTGATTGATTGATTGATTGAATGAATGATTGGTTGATTGATTGATTGGTTGGTTGACTGATTGATTGATTGATTGGTTGGTTGATTTATTCAACTAATAGTTAACTGACTGACTAGATGGCTGATGGGATGACTAATTAATGAACTGGATGATGAACTGACTTCTGAAAACGAATTACAAATAAAGCAGAGACAACATGTATTGGCCGGTAGATAAAATATAAAAATATACATGAAATACAAGATATTTATTTCAAATAAATTATCAATCAATCATATTTATTTCAAATAAATTATCAATCAATCAATCAATCAATCAATCAATCAGTCAATCAATCAATCAATCATCAATCAATCATCAATCAATCAATCAATCAATCAATCAATCAATCAATCAATCAATCAATCAATCAATCAATCAATCAATCAATTAATCAATCAATCAATCAATCAATCCATCCACTATTCAATATATCTATCTATCAAAATATATCAACATTATCTTCCATGTTGTCATCAATTGCCATAGCAATACACTTATTCCTATTACCCTTAGCATGTGGAAACTTTGGCAGCGCAGATGATGATAGTAGTGATAACGGTGGACGGATGAACCCATGTGGGTAACCCCTCCCCCCGTAAGAATAATGCCCATTAACCAGGTCATACAACATTTGACCTTCATTGTCTAGGTCAAGATCACTACTGAGGTCATCGAGGTTGTTGACCTGGAGGTTTTTATCAAAAACAGTTGTTATCTCTTCATAGTTATCATCTTCCAAAAAGATTCTGTTCTTCTGGTGGAGATTTCTACAGGGAATACCCACAACGGTCTCGTGTGCTTGGATGAGGTTTGTGCTATTTATAGGCGGGTTGGAAATTCCATGTGTTTCATTATTGTGGATGTTTATGAGAGTTTTCATTTTATTTCTTTCTTGTTTCGGTTTGATCTGAGCATACACTGGTTCGTTGATGCCTGTCTGCTGCTGTTGACATCGTGGCTGTTGTGGTTGCTGTTGTTGCTGCTGGTCAGTTGTTGTCGAGAACTGCATCAAATCTCGATCGCTGCAACTTAAAGTGTCCTTGTTACTGTTGGCGTATGATGTTGAAGAAGCCGACGCTGAGGAAGTCGCAATTGCAGCTGCCGTTTTACATGATGGCTTCGTTAACTTATAATCTTCAAACAAAACTTCATCATAATCATCACTTTCTCTTACGCTTCTCTTAAACTGTTTGTCAACAAGATCGTTTTTATTATCACCCAACAAAGAACTGAAATCATCGACAACAATTTTTTTACTCTGTTGTCGGAAGTAACAATCATCCGAGTTAACATTTGTGGTAAACATCGTCGCTTCGCCAACGTCCATGCAGTTGTTGTCCGGGATGAAGTCGTAGAGGCTGTCCGTTCGATAACGTTTGCCCGTGTATGGCTGGACGCTGTTGTTGCAGTCAATGCTGTTGTTGTTGTTGTTGTTGCAGCTGCTGCTGTTGTTGTAGGCAATGTTGTTGTTGGCAATGTTATTCTTTTTGATGTTCGGAGCATCCAGTTCAGCGGATGCGAGTTTGAACTGGTCGGCACATCCCTGCAACTGTAATGAGTCATCAACGACATCTCCAATCTCATCATAGATGCCATTGCGTTTGCTGCTGTTGATGTTGTTGACGTTGTAGTTCGATCGACTAGGTGAGGTGTATCTCGTGTAATCTTCTTGGTGTTTTGCATCCTTCGTCGTTGACCTGCGGTCATCAGAGGCAAGCGAGGAATCCCTCTGCCTGGGGTAGACCTTCAAGTTGAGGACGAGGTTCTTGTCGGGACTCTTGAAGACCAGCAAGCTCCCAGATGCACTGCTCCCATCATCTACGTTATCAACCTTCTTGAAGTGGGTGATACCACTCAGAACGTCGCTATTGGAGAGATGTTCAGGACTGTTGTGGCCAGCAGCAATACTAACGTCTGCTGCATTTACAACACCAGCATCGACCAAACTACCGGCACCACCAGCTGAAACGCCGCTTACACAACCTGTACCACCCTTACTGAAAGAATGGACCTGAACCAGAGGTGACTGTTTGATGGGGTCAATTCGAGAGACCAATCTCTGATAGGCAGAACCAGAAGACAACCTCTTGATGCTGTCCCCACGGTGGGCAAGGTTGGGGAAGTTGGTGACGGTCGTCATGCTGACGTCACCACCCCCGCAACTTGCCAAGCTTGAAGTTTCTGATAGCGTTTCAGGGCTGGCCAGAGGGGCAAAGGTGCCCATCCAATCCTCTAATATGATTGGTTGTCGTTTGTTGTTTAAGAGGGCGTTGTTGTTGTTGTTGTTATTGTTGTTGTTGTTGTTGTGGTGGTGGTGGTGGTGGGGTAGATCTGTGGTGTAGATGCTGGCGTAGGTGTCGTCGCTATTGTTGCTGATGACTCTTGCTGACGTTGCTGTGTGTGTTTGTGAGTGTGTTTGTGTGTGTTTGTGTGTGTTTGTGTGTGTGTGTGTGTGTGTGTGTTGTTATAGTTACGTTTGTGTCATATTGCACTGCGTGTTGTTGATAAGTTGCTGCTGTTATTACGTAGTAGTAGTAGTTGTTGTTACTTATTAGGTTGTGTTGCATGTTGTTGTTGTTACTTATTAGGTTGTGTTGCATGTTGTTGTTGTTTTGTTGTTACTGTTGTTGTTGTTGTTGTTGTTGTTACTATTTCTTGTTATATTTTGGGGTAGGTTATTTAACAACAGCAAACAACAACAAACAATTAAAATTAAACTAACCCTGCAAAACAACACATCAACCGGACAAATTAGAAACGTAATACAATCAGATGAATGATGAAAATACACCACCACAACAAAATACACCACACCAAAAAAAACAAAACACAACACTTCAACTGCAAAAAAAACTTCTCCCACCTAGCACTACAACAACGCCAAAACAAAACAACAACCTCTGCACGGTAGACCAAGAGGCCTACAATTTCTCAACTTAACTGTCTCTACGACAGTTGCACAGCTGTTGTTGTTGTTATTCACATTAACAATGTTGTTGTTGTTGTTGCTGTTGTTGTTGTTGTTGTACTCTTGCGACTGACAGCCGTTAAAACCGTTGTTGTTATTGTTGTCAGATGAAATGTAATACAAGTTGCCGTTGGCGTTGTTGAAGTTGGGATTGCTGTAATCAGCATTGACATTTTTGTTGTCGTTCTTGCTGTTAGCATTGTTAATGTCATAAGCATTGATTTCAGAGCTAAACAGATTGCTGGAATGTGTGGAAGTTATATTTTCGACAGCAACAAACTCTACCTCATTGACACTACCACATCCTTCTACACCGTAACCAACGTTGAATACACCGAGTAGGTTAGTGCTGTAAGCTCCTTGCTTGGTAATACAACTACCGGCCATGACATCATTAATGTTATCATTATTACTGTTGTTGTTGTTGTTATCTACATTATCGTCATCGTTGTCGTTATCGTTGTTGTTGTTGTTAGTGGTTGACGTGTCCTGAAAGAGAGAGGATTGTTCGTTGAATGAGTTGTTGGTTGTGGTGTCGTTGTGTGATGACGTTCGTGATGGAGTGAATTGTTGCTGGGATGAATGCTGTTGTTGTTGATGTTGTTTGCCACCCTGACCCTTCCTCGTTGGCTTGGCCGGACTCACGTGTGTTAACACCTGCAGTTTCACAAGGATTGCAAGGATTGCAAAGATTGCAAGTATCATAGTTATGTGGTTTATTCGTTGGGGGAATAAACAAAAATTATTAAATAATTATCATTCTCTCGTTATTCACACTCACTACATGTAACGTGATCCGCAAACATTTTGACACACACACAAATACACACCCACACACACGCACACATACATACAAACACACACATACACACGTGTTACAATTTTCATTCACAATAAAATATGTTTCAGCGTTTTTTAAAAATGAAAATTTTTATGTGTACAACGGGATGGTCTTATTTTTCTTGATATAATTTCCACGGGGTGCAGTAGTTGAGATGAGGACAATGCTACGAGCAGTGCGAACCACAAAATCCAAATTTTTTTTTTTTAATTCCATTTATTCACAAAAAATGGTTTCAATATTTGTTCTTTATCCCATCACAGCCACGTATGCAAGAACGACTTCATAGGTGGAAGGGGAAGATTTATTATTTCTTGCTCTGTCCGTCAGCTCCGAGTATTCTGACCTTAGGCTAATTCAGAGATGGGTAGATGGGTTTTCTAATCGAATCTTCAGCCACTGGTTAGCGGCAAGCTCCGAAAATTATTTTTCAAACTAATGACCGAATAAATTTTAAATCCAACAAAATAACTTTATCTTTGGTGGATAAATATTGCACTATAATTTGCAGAAAGCCAAACAGACGGTTTTAATACGCCAAAAATAAATGAAAATCATAAGCAAATATAGCCTACCACAATTATTATTTATAGCTTCCGATAATTTTTAATAATTTCGTTCAGACCAGTCTGAAACGAAACACACGCTATTTTAACAAGCATCCTTCTATCAAATAAAAAGTTCTGTACTTTGATGCCGTCCGTAGCTACTGATCGCGACAGATCAGCGTTTGCGCGCTTATTTCAATTCTTATCCAACATATAATAATACATTGCCGAGCAGCTGACCGGGTCCACGCACATGCATACCTCATCAGGATTACTGAACCAGGTTGGTCATGCACACAGAAAACATTCAACGAATTTTGTGTGCTGCTGATCAAGTCTGACCTCTGGCCTCGCGATGACCAAAAATTTCTTTTCATTTAAGCCCAGTCACTGCGAAAACAGTGCCAAGCACCTCAACCATTAAGCTACCCCACTGCCCAAATAATTATCATAAATATCTAGCGATACGAACAAATACAGAGACACACAAAAGATAGAAGGAAGAACCTTCTCGAGAGCCTGCATAATGAGAAATGGATTGTGATCAACGACCATCTTCTTCGACACGCACATATGTTTGAAATCTTCATTCCTGCAGAAGACTGCCTGGAAGACCGAGTGACTTCTGCAATGTGCTACACGTTCTGTGCAACTGTATGGAGAGTATGTGTATGTGTATGTGTGTGCGTTTGTGTGCGTGTGTGTGTGTGTGTGTCTGTACGTACGTCAATGATTGTACGTACACATGTGTGTGTGTGTGTGTGTGTGTGTGTGCGAGTGTGCGTGAGTGAGTGTACATGTGTATGTGTGTATGTATGAATATAAGTGTGTGTATATGATGTGAGAACGCGTGTGAATAATATGTAATGGCAACAATAACATTACAATCCTTTAAACACAGAGAAAACATTATTAATGTCAATCAGAGTTGATTTTATAGCATGATGACGGCAACAATCTGAATAAAAAAAAGACGAAGTTGGTCCGATAAATTAAAATAAAATGAAGTGAACTACCGACCGAAAATTACAAATAATAATAATAATAATAATAATAATAATAATAATAATGGGAACACTTCTTTTATTCAATCAAATATCATAAAACATACAGAATAATACAATATTCAATATATATACAAATAATAATAATAATAACAATAACAGAAATAATAATAATAATAGTAATAATAATAAATCACAGCATGAACCCCACCTCGTCTTAGGATGACTCCTAACGATATGAACGACCTTTCCAGGTAAGAGCATTCGCGCATTCCTATTGGCTGACTCGTTGACCTGAACCAAATAACCTGATTCGTAATTGGTCAGAGATAGGTCACTATGGCAACATACGGACGGCCAACTACGACTGCACAATACTTTTAACTGGTGGTGGTAATGATGATGATTGTGGTGGTTACTATGGTGATGAGGATGATGATTTAGCTGATGATGATGATAAATAAGATTAACCATACTAGAACTATTTTTTTTAAATTAATTAAAATATCATATTATTATTTAAATAACTAACTAGCTGATTAATTAATAGCTAATTGATCCAAGTTGTGAACTTATTATTATCTAAGTCAGTGTCAGGCAACCAGTGTGCCTCGGCACACTGGTTGCCCGGCACACTGGTGTGCCGCGGCAACTGTTAGGCATATCGTTCTTCGAGGCACACTGGTGTGCCGCGAAGAATTCTAGGTGTGCCGCGAACATTTTTGTAGGTATTTAGAACTTTTGGACTTTTGGTTAAATTTAAAAATAATGTTTTATAATTTTTTATAATTTTTATTCAGAATATTTCGGAATATTTTTTTCAAAAACTTAACCTTCATTTACAATCTTTGTCACAGCTGTTTATTAATAGAGACTAAAAGCTACAAAGCTTGTTAAAAAAAAGAAAACAAAAAAAATTTATAAATTTATTTAAAAAATTTATTCGAAGTTTTCGTCAAAGTATTGCTGTTCTCACTCACTTTTAACTCAAGGTAACTTTATTTAATTTAAACATATTTTTATTTAATTTAAACATATTTTTATTTAATTTAAACATATTTTTATTATATTTGTGTGTTTTCTAAACTCTCTCAAAACTAGATGGAGAGATTTCTAATTAGAGAAGGTGCCAGTGATAAAAATAATGAAGATAAGAAAATATTAAAATCAACTGGAAATAAGAGGAAATACGTTGAAGATTATCTCAAATATGGATTTATACCATCTGTTAATGATCCATCACTGCCGTTTTGCTTAATTTGCCTAAAAACCCTCAGCAACGAAACAATGGTGCCAAGTAAACTACTTCGACATATTGAGACAAATCATCAGGAGCAGATGAACAATCCAATAAGCTACTTTGAAAATATACGATCAAGTTTTCAAAAGCAATCAAAAAAATTCAAGAAATTTATGACCACCTCAGATGAAGCTCAAACTGCTAGTTACATGATAGCTCAACTCATCGCTCGAAAGAAGAAAGCTCACGCGGAAGCAGAGGAAATTATCTTGCCTGCTTTAAAAATTGTGGCAGGATGTATGTTAACGAATGATGCTATGGAGAAGGTTAAGAAAATTCCACTATCATCAAAAACTATTGCGAGAAGAATTGAAGATATGTCAGAAGATATTGAGTTGCAAATAAAACAATCTTTTAATGATTCATCAACAAAATGGGCTATACAGCTTGATGAAACCACAGATATTAGTAATAAAGCTCAATTGCTGGCATTTTTGAGGTTCGTCGATACAGGAAAAATTGTGAATAACTACTTTTTTTGTAAAGAATTAAAACAAAGAACGACTGGTGCGGACATTTTTGAATTAGTTGATGAAAATGCTATGAAGTATAACTTGAGATGGGAAAATTGTGTTAGCGTCTGTACGGATGGAGCTCCAGCTATGAAAGGTTCAAGAAAGGGATTGATAGCACATGTCATAAAAAAAAATCCAAATATCAAATTTGTTCACTGTATGGTTCATAGAGAAATGTTAGTGTCAAAGTCGGTTCCTCCCATCCTTGTCACAACTCTAGATGAAGTTGTCAAAGTAGTCAATTACATCAAATCAAATGCTCTTCGATCGAGAATTTTTTCAACATTTTGTGAAGCAATGGATTCCGATTATACAAATTTATTGTTTCATACTGAAGTCAGATGGTTGTCGAAAGGCAAAGTTTTAAATCGATTTATTTCAATGAAAAATGAAATAATGGCATTCATTGATAACGAAGAGATTAATTTTCCTTTCATGATGAGTGATGTTTGGTGGTTACGAGTTTCATTTTTGGGTGATATTTTCGACAAATTAAACAGCCTTAATTTAAATTTGCAAGGTGCTCAGGAGAACATTATCACTATCTCCACCAAGTTGAAAGCGTTTAAGGAAAAACTCAGCTTATGGAATTTAAACATTGCTAAAGAAAACTTTGCATCTTTTCCAATGGTTCAAGAGAATCCATCAAAATCTATTATCAAAAAAGAAGTCGAAGAAACTTTGACATTACTATCCGCTTCTTTTGATAAATATTTTCCTAACTTGGACGTTGAAAAGATGGAATGGGTAGTTAACCCATTTATGCACTGTGAAATTCAACATCTGGAAGAAGAAATGCAAGAAAACTTAATTGATTTAAAAAACGATTTAGTTTTCAAAAGACTATTCACTGAAAAGGAGCTATCTGAGTTTTGGTTGTACTTAAACTCCAAATTTCCTAAACTTAGTAATGCGGCCATCGAATCATTGTTGCCATTTGGAAGTTCCTACCTGTGTGAGCAAGGTTTTTCAACACTCACAGAAATGAAGTCTAAGAAGCGCGAAAGACTTCAAATGATAGATGAGGAGATGCGCGTTTGTCTTTCACAAGTACATCCCCGTATTGATTTGATATGCTCTCAAAAACAATCGCAATGCTCGCATTGACTATGTTAATTTAATATTGAAAATTAATAAAATGTGATATATATGTTTAAATTTTTACTAGTATTTATTGTTGTATTTTAATTACCTACGAGGAAATTTATAGTGAGAACCACAGGTGCGCCGCGAAAAAAGGAAATTAAGCTTAGTGCGCCGCAACTCGAAAAAGGTTGCCCGACACTGATCTAAGTAGATGAAAGTAAGAACTTCTAGCAGCACTATTAACTTATTATTCCTGACCAATTAGGAGTCGGGTTATTTGGGTCAGGTCATTGAATCAGCCAATAAGAATGGTCCATTATTATTTGATGAATGAAAGAAATGAATAATGAATGAATGAATAATGAATGAATGAATGAATGAATGAGTGAGTGAATAAATGGATTAATTAATTAAAAATTCTGACCTTTGAACTTCTGCATGACTTGAGACCGTTGATGATGTTCTTACGGAAGGCCTCGACCTGGGTGTGCCCCAACCTAAAAATTTCAATCATTGTTTCTAGTCTATTTATTTTTATATTAATTCATTCATTTGTTCGATCATTTGTTCATTCTATCGTTAATTAATTAATTAATTAAAAAGTTCAGTTGATCATTTATTTATTTATTTATTAATAAATTAATTAATTACCTTGTTATTTACTAGCTTT